TTCCTCCGGCCCAGCGCCTCCAAACCCAGCACTGCTGCCCCGCTGGAGGTCCCGTGCCAAGTGTGCTCAGGCAGCCTGGGCCTCGGCCTCCTCCCGCCCCAGGGAGCTAAGGAGACGCAGAAGCTCTAGGACCCATGTGGCCTGGACTCTTGGCTTCCTGCTTCCACTCCCCAGGCCAGGAACCAGGAGCCCAGGACCAGGGACTTCAAGGAACTGCTCAAATGGGGGTGTGGCCCAGCACAGGGCGCAGGGTGGTAATCCCAGCACTCAGGAGGCTGAGGCAGGAGGAGCATGGCAAATTCCAGGCCAGCCTGGGCTACACAGTGAGTTCAAGGCCACTCTGAACTACATAGTGAGACTTTGTCTCAAACACAAACCAAGAGGGGGGTTTGGTTCACCTCCAGGGTGCCCACCAGGCTCTTGCAGGGAGGAGATGGGAAGAACCTACCAGGCACAAGCAGGAAGAGAGGGCAAGGTCCTGTCAGGATGCACAGGCCCCCAAGGAGGCTGCTGTCAGAGAGAAGCCCCGAGCCTTGTCCAGCGTGAATCCAGCTGCTACCTAAGGAGCTAAGAGATGCTGTGAGGGGCACCGCCCAGACACGGATTGATGATTGATTGATTGATTGATTGACTGATCAGTTTTTTTTATTAATTGATTTTGAGACAGGGTTTCACTGTGCAGTCCAGGCTGGCCTTCAACTCACAACGATCCTCCTGCCTCAGCCTCCCAGAGTGCAGGGATCACAGGCATGTAGCACAGCAGTGAGTGTCCTCAGACAAGAAGGACCAAGGACAAGGACACTCGAAGCTTCTGGATCCAACTGCTACAGCCACATTAGACACATGAGTCCTCGTCTGGGCACCTGTGTTCCTGCTTCCTGTCACCAGCATCACGTAAAAGAGAATGCCACAAGGCGTGGCCCAGGGAAGGAAAGGTCCTGGACAATAGGGGTCCAGATGCCAGCACAGTCAGGCAGCGGATTTGAAACAGTTCATGCCCAAGGGCTTTGCTGGAAAAAACTGACCATGTGTAAAAAACAGATAGGTAACATGATCAGGGAGAGGGAACCTCAGGAAAGGAACATTGAAGGAGTCAGGCACATGGGCACACACCTGCAGTCCCAGCACTCTGGGAGGCTGAGGCAGGAGGATCACAAGTTCAAACTCAGCCTGTGCAACTTAGTGACTTTATGAGACCTGGTCTCAAAATAAAAAGTAAGAAAGGGGCTGGGGATGTAGGGCCCTGGGTTGGATCCCTAGTATCACAAAAGAGAGGAAAAGGGTCAAAGTAGAGCACTTGCCAAGCATACACAAAAGCCTTGGGTTCTATCCCCAGCACTGTGAAAAGCAAAAGAAAAATCGAAAGGCATAACAGAAGTCAAAAAGCACTGTAGCCAGGGATTTACCTCAGAGATTCCACCACCTGCCTCCCTGCCTTGCAAGCAAAAGGACCCAAGTTTGATCCCTGGTACAAAAAAAAAAAAACAAAACAAAAAACAAAACAAAACAAAACAAAACACTACAGCCAAAATAGCTTTGTTAAGCTCATAATGACTCTGTACCCTGCTTTTTTGTTGTTGTTTTGTTTTGTTTCTTGAGATAGGGTTTTGCTATG